AAAAAAAAAAAAAAAAAAAGTGTCAAAATGAAATGTCAGAGATATCAACTGTCAAACTTGGTACTTAAGGAAATTAGACATTCCATACTTAATAACCTAATGTTTGAAATATTAGAATTGAAATTCTTAAGGTTGTTAAAAAGAAATTCATGAGTATAGTCATGCATTGCTTACTAACAGGAATATGTTCTGAGAAGTGTGTTAGGCAGTTTGGTGGTTGTGTGATCATCATAGAGTGCACTTACACAAACCTAGACGATACAGCCTACTATACAGCTGGGCTATATGGCGTGGCCTGTTGATCCTACGTTACAAACCTATGTAGCATGTTACTGTCCGGAATACTGTAGGCATTTCTAACACAATGGTAAGTATATGTGTATCCATACATATCCAAACGTTGAAAAGATACTGTAAAAATACCATTTAAAAGAGAAAATGGCAGACCTCGTAGGGCACTTAGCATGAATGGGGCCTTTTCAGGACTAGAAGTTTCTCTGGGGTAAGTCAGTGAGTGAGTGGTGAGTGAATGTGAAGGCCTAGGACGTTACCGCACACTACTTACTGTAGGCTTTATAAACACCACGCTTAGGCCACACTAAATTTACCAAAAAAATATTTTTTTCTTCAATAGTAAGTTAACCATAGCTTTTTGTGACTTTTAAACTTTATAAAAGGTTCAATTTTTAAACTTTGTGACTTTTATAATAACACTTAGCTTTTAAAATACAAACACATTGTACAGATGTATAAAACTATTTTCTTTCTTTATATCCTTATTCTGTAAGCTTTTTTCTATTTTTAAATTTTTTATTTTTTTGTTAAAAATCAAGACACAGACACACACATGAGCCTACACAGGGTAAGGATCATTGCTGTCACCGTCTTCCACATCCCATCCCACTAGACCAGGGGCAGTAACACACATGGAGCTGTCGTCTCCTGTGACAACAGTGCCTTCTGGAACACCTCCTGAAGGACTTGGCTGAGGCTGTTCCACAGTTGGTTTTATTTTTAACATAAGGAGAAGGAGTACACTCTAAAATAATGATAGAAGGTGCAGCATAGTAAATACATAAAACTTTTAAGTCATTTATTATCATTATCAAGTATTATGTATAATACATGATTATATGTGCTAGACTTTTATATGACTGGCAGCACAAGAGATTTGTTTACACCAGCATCAGCACAAACACGTGAGTAATGTACATTGTAGTATGTACGGCACCACCGTGGTTAGCTAAGATGTCTCTAGGTGATAGGAATTTTTCAGCTCCATTATAATCGTGTGGAACCATTATCACACATGTGGTCTGTTGTTGATCAAAACATTATGTTATACAGGGCATGACTGTACAACTCATAGATGGAGAGGAATACTGCAGGTAGCCTAAATAATATAAAATAGTGGAAATTGTACAAGATACGGTATAATGTCTTGTTTTAATTGATACATAGCCTTGACCTTTCAGTTTATTCTGAGTTGCGG